CACTGGGATCTGACACGTGCCTTCCCCACTCCCAGGTGTAGCCATGACGGAAAGTCAGGGGGACCGCCTGCACCTTTAGCTTTTCCAGAATGTTCTGGGCCCCTCAGGCTCAACTGTCCTAGCGCACACACTTGGGGAGAAGACGGGCTTTACCGGGGCTGTCCCTGTGTCTCCCTGGAGGCCTGGCCAGCTGCAGTCCTCCGGCAGAAGCAAGTGCCTGTTCAGCCCTCTCCTCTCAGTGGAATCTGCCCCAGACCAATGGCTTCTGCCCTCGCAGCCCGGCCTGCTGACTCTGCCATCGGGCGCCAACCCCTCTTTCCGCCCGGGGGGCCCAAACCACTTTTCCCTCTGCAGGCCGCTAGGATCCGAAAACCTGCTTCTCAGAGGAGCCACGCTAAAGAACACTGAGAGGATCTTTGGTAAGTGTTTTAGTTAACCATTACCAGTGGCTTCGAAAGTTAGGGTACACGAGGCTGCCTGAAGATCCCCAGTGGCACCCCGCGGGCGTGGCCTCGTGCGTTGAGGGCTGTAGGCATTCTGGCAGCCACAGTCTTGCCTCTGATCATCTGTGTTGGGTGGCCGTGGCACGTGGGCAGCTGTGTCAGCACGTGGCCACTGCGAGGGGTCCAGGGTTTCTGACTCGTGTCCATGAAGGAACCACAGCGAGGCTGTGCGGGAATGTCTTTGTGTGCCTGCGTTTGCCTGCTGGTGTCCCCCGTCCCCAGTCCCCGTCTATGGCTTGTTTTGTTTTGTCAGGGAGTGTGTGCACTCCCCAGAGGAGCGGGTGGGAGGGAGCACGCCGGGGCCCACCCGCGGCCGCCCTCCCCTCTAGGTGCTCCGCTCCGAGGTCGGACATGCACACGCACACTGAGCTCAAGCTGCCGGGTCTGGGACTCGAGCTGTGCAGTCAGCCATGCAGGGTCCGACCCGACGGCCCACCCTGGCTATGTCCCAGCACACGAGATGCTTTGTAGATGCACGCGTACGCTCCAGTCCGGACCTCTGCAGTGGAACAGCTGTTCGTGCCTGGCTGGCGTGCCCAGTGAGACTACACTGCAACTCATGGGCCCAGACCCCGCGTGCCCTTAGCCGTGTGTGCTGTGCCGTGTGCCGTGGGCATCACGCGTCTCCCCACTCTGCAGGTGTCGCTATTTACACGGGCATGGAGACCAAGATGGCGCTGAACTACCAGTCCAAGTCCCAGAAGCGGTCTGCGGTGGAAAAGTAAGGGCCCCTGCCCCGAAGGGCGAGCCGCTCTGACACGCTCAGCGGCCACGGCAGGGGCCCGGCCTGTTCGGGCAGCCCCACCGCACGC